AGAATTTGAAGAGTATCAAAGTCTGCATCTGAAGTGTTATTAAGCATACACCGTCTTCTTTAAACGCCTAAGAGTTTGTTTGATCCTTGACCTCTGTTGCTTCTGAAAAGTTGTTGCTCAAGTATGTGTGTTTGAAAGCAGATCAAATTCAATTTAAAGTTCAATACTTCTGTGAACCTCACACGTTCTTGTGCGTTTACCTCATTTAACTATCCTACATAGGAGGATTTCTGGCATATTTACTGACTTTCTGAAGACCGATGGGTCTTATGGGGACCAGAGTTTGGACCTAATACAGTGAACTCCCTTGTTTAGGCTTAGGGTTTAGGTTTAGAGGTATGATGTGCATGAGGCTCGTAATGGTTAGGGTTGGCATGAATGCAGTTATAAAACTGAATGGAAGTCAATACAAAACTGTTTTCATAGAAGCACAAGGATGTGTGCATGCAAAGTACCTTTACTTTGGCTTCACTGATACGCTGACTCATTTTGAAGAACTCTTACATATTCGAAGGCTTAAAAAGAATAAAGTTTTTCCATTGATGATGCTCTTCTCCATCGTTGTGCTCTGCACAAAACAACTTTTCAACTACCTCTGCCTTCCCTGTGGACAACATGGCGACTGGATTGACGGGTTCCGCAAAGAATTACTTCTTTGTTTTTAGCACTTACAATTGGCTGTTTGTGAAATGATCTGCCAGCCCAAGCATGCACAGGGAGATCATGCAACCTGCAGGCAGAAAGGGATTCTAACGCGAGGCCTTCTTGTTGCAAGGCAACTGTGCTGCCAACTGGCTAAAAATAAACACTCAGTTCCAACAAAACACAAAAATCCCTTTGATGACCTGAAGTAATATCACTGAAAATATTTTACGCTGACTCCATGATGGTGGAGTTGTCAACCTGGAGCAGAGCAGTCCTGGGTTGGAATCCCGGCCACCTCTTCCGTGCAAGCATGGATTCTTTCCCAGTACTCCGGCCATCACTGGTATAGTTATAGGTATAAGTTTGAGAGAAATTGTGTGTGTATTTTTGTCCCTTATCTCTGTGTTGACCTGTGACAGACTGATGGCTTGTACATGGAGTACCTCAAGTCTAGTGACTACCTGACTTTAGGCGCCAGCTCCTTCATAACCCACATGAATGAGCAGGTATAGACAGTTAATGCTCTGTATTCAGACCACCTCATATTTTTATCATGTTAATGGATGTTGTCAGTTCGTTTAATCCACTACGGCTTTTCCATGATTTAATTCCTTTCATATTCCAAACAAACAGGAGAGGAAATCAAACTGAGTTATGCATTCACATACACAAAGTAGACAAGAAAAGTTGAATGCTTTTGTACATTTCTTGTTTTCTGAAAAATGTCGACCATGCTGCTCCTTCTAAACAATCTGCTGACAGAACACAAACCAGCCATTATGAGACGAGGCCTCCCTCTAGTGTCATAACACGGCTATTACACCCCCAGATGTACAATCAGCACCAAAGCATTGGACAGCTCCCACACTCACAATGCAAAATGTAGAATGAAATCCTAAAGACAAACTGGATTTAAAACTGATGTCTCTGAGCGTCTCGGAGCGTCCCCTCTGGATTCTCATTCCTCATGTAATTTAGAGGCAACGCTGACAGAAAAAAAAACACTTACCCCCAAACACAATTTGATTGATGCCTCATAATAAAAGGGCATTTGTCTTCTAGACAGTGTAAAATTGGAGCTGCAGTGGTCTGTGTGTCCGCGCGCCTCTCGTCCGTACGTGTGTGCGTGTAGGTGGTCTGGCTGGCTGCGCCGACGTGACACAGTATGATGAAACAATAAAATTTAACAGCTGATTCATATCTGAGCATAAAGGCCAGAGTTTTGTTAGGTTCCCCCCTTAATGAAACTCATAATTCTGTCTCCCTCAGCGGTGCTACTACAGCGCACAGGAATCGATCACAAAGAGAGATATCCAAGTTACAGCGTGAAAGATCAGCTTTGCAGACGAAAGTTGCAAAGCTGATCTTTTGCACGTTGCACGTTGATCAAAGGAATGAACAAAAAGTCCCTTCATACAGATACCAACACACATGCTTTCTAAAAAGTATTCATATGCTTTTAGCATATGCATATTTTGGACTGTAACAGTCGCATACATTTTCTTGCTGACTCTAACAGGTCTTGAACCAGCAATGCTCCGTATTCAGACCACCTCATCTTTTTATAATTTCTGAGCGAGTCTTGTATTTTGTCATAGAGTTGACCTGAGTTCAACGTTCAAATAATCAGAAGTCGTAAAACACACTTGTCAAACAAGATGGCTGCCGTGAGTGTGCTGACATCGCGCGGACAACCACAGAAGCCCAAGAAGTGCTCTGGTTTAAAACAAGTAATAATAATAATTTTGATTTTCCAAAATTTAAATCTTCAAAAATCAAAAATCTGACTTTATGACCCAGCCCAAGTACAAACATTTTCAAATAATCCGTTTTTCTTCTTCTAAGTCTGAACGACTTTGTGTTGGACTATCACTAAAAAATTCAGAGAAAAAAATACAGGAAAGTTTGTCATAGGAACAAGTCAATATGTGAAAAAAACAAACATAGCGAGTATACATATTTTTTCCAAGACCCTGTTTCAGGCTCTGTTATACAGTCTGCTTTTGTCAAAGACTGGCATTGAAGTCACAAAGGTTACAAATCCAATCACTATAGAGATGGTTTCTGCATCTTTGTGTGTCAGGGAGAGGAAAAAATAAATAAAAAATGACCCCATTGCTGGTGAGTGCTTGTGTTTGTGCCTGTGCACTCTGAGGATGAATAGCTGGCTCAACAGAAATGAAACTGGGAGAAATTCAAACACGGGGGAGCCAAAAAGCATCACTGTAAAGAAATATTTCAACGAGAAGAAAGGGCGAAACAGACAGAGAGTGACAGTTTGTGAAGCGAGGCAGAGTTCATATCAGACTATTGTAATCCATCAACTGTATGGAAGGAAAAAAAAAACTGAATCACTCAATATGGAAAGAAAAGCTGAGCCTCCCTTTGATACACAGAGAGGGAGAGAGAGCAGATCTACAAGATCAGCACATTCAACCAGTGAACTAAAGTCTGTTTTTCATCTTCCCCTCCTCTCTTCTGCTCCATCTCCTTTGACCTTAGGGTCCTAATGCACTCATACAATTCACTCTGGCTTTCTCTCAGTGATGATCATCTGCCCCTGTCAGCAGGTCTAAGTCACTGAGCTAAGCAATTCCCTGCCTTCCCAAAGGATCTCAACTAGAACCACTGTCTGCTATATTATATAGATATATAGAGAGCTCTATATATATCTATATACCGTAAGAATGTGTGTACGGCATAAACAATCCGGGATGACTTCATGTACAACCTTCATGAACTGTGCACCGACTGTGTATCTGTCAGCAAATACTTATTTCTGCTGTTTGCCACTCTCAATTGTCTTCATAAGCGATCTAACCCTTTCGTCATCTGCAAGAATCCAAATCAAACAGTCTCCTCCAGCAGCAACTGAGCAGACAACTACCGCCTATATCTCACAATCGTAGCCATCTCTGAGATTTAACCTACCTGTTGACTTCAGCCTCAGGGATTAGCAGGTAAGTGTACAGACACTTGCTATTCAGCCAGCAGCGTGCAGACAATGCCAGCGTAGAATCATAATGACCACAACAGAGGCAGTGGAGAAAATCCAGAGAATTTATCTACGGTTTTGTGACTGTGTCTTTGCTGGGTGAAAATGTGTGCTTTTGTGAGAGTCTTTGATTCGATCCTTTTATATTTGCTCTTTGAGCTGGGATTGGATTTGGGTTTGCAATTGGAGAGAATTTTAACTAGAACTTGCTGCCCTCTTCTGGGCAAACTCAATACTGCATGAACAGTTTTCCTGGGTAGGACTTAACAACCTAGATCTCCATGAAGTAAGAAACTTATCATTAAAATGAAAATGAAGTTAGAATGGGGTCAGATATCCAGCTCTTTGGATTCCTCTGACTTGATAAAATCCTACACAACTGCTGTCCACTTAAGACTTTGGGTATGCCTTCTTTTGTTCTTGTTTCACTTTTTATTCTTACTTTAAATATGTTTGCTTTTATTCTGTACGACTACAGAGAAATCCTCGAGCTGTCAATGAAAAACTGCATCGATTTCAAGAAAATGTGACAGTGAAATGCACAGACGCAGTTTGTAAAGAGGACAAGGCTGGACCGTAACGGACATATTTGATGATTAAATGTCTTCAGCAATAATTTCTGAGGCAAGAACATCCCCTCACACCAGAAAGAAACATTTGCATTGAAAGATTGGCTAAAACAGTAGAAGTTCAGACTGTATGCCACTGTACTGGCGAATCTCATAAAAATTTAAGATGATCCAAGTAAAATATATGTACTTACTTAACAAGTAGAGATCATAGTGCATAAGCACAACATGCTCATCATTTAACTACTGAGTTTTCAATCAAAAGCAGTGTCTGCCTAATAGTCGCTGACAATCCAAAGTAATAAAAATTTAACCAGAGCCACCTATCATATTCATCATCAAGGCTAAGTAGAGGTTGTGCACCTTATGGACCAAAAATTGAAGAAAAACTTCCAACAGAAGCCTAAACATTGTAATTTGTTTTTTCTTTAGCAACCTGAAACACAAGGTGTCTGTGTTTCCAAGGCAGCGCTGATCAAACCACTTATTTTTTCCACCTGTACTCAAAATGCCATTGCCTGTGTAATTACCCTGGAGACTTTTTTTTTAGTTCGACTTCCACAAAGTTTATATAGATATAAAGCAGAAAACACTGGATTTTTTTCAGCGTCTTTTGATGCTGTTGAAACTTTTCCTCCAACGTAGAGAAAATAAAGCGGCAGCAAGCAGAATGTCTCATCTTTGCAACGATCTAATGCACACACTCATACGGCCGCCATAAACACACGTTGGCATGTCGTCTGCATGCCTGACATTGTAATGCGAGTATGTGTGACACTCGGGTGACTTACGGGGGTGCTGCCATCTGACAGGGTCATCATGCTGATCGACATGCTCATCTTGTCAGAGGAGGAGAGTGAAGGTGGGGATGGGCTCCGTTTCTCCACTTCTTGTCTCTGCAGAAAGTCTCGCCACGCCCGCTGGATGCTACGCAGCGGGATAAAGACAAAACGTGATGAAGCACAAAGAAAGGATTATGATGCAAGCTTTCTGGAAAAGAGTTTCACAGCCAGAGAAGCATGTTTCCTCATGAGTCTCATGAGTTACAAGTGTTAGAAGTTACAAACCCTTCTGACTGCCAGATTTTCTGACCTGGAGCTGTGACTTCCTAACCTTGCGAGAGTGCAGCAATGAAGACTGAGGACAGTAAACAGTGCACGGGGAACAAGCTAAATATAAAATCTTGTACTAAAGTTATTTTCCATTAAGGCTTTTTAGGGTTTCCACTAATCTATCAACCTGAAATTATGGATATTTGAATCCACAGACAGACCATGGATTGACAGATATTTGGATGGCACACATACAGATCTATAAATGGACAAAAACATTGATGAACTGATAAATAAATGAATAAATAAACAAAATAATGGACATATGGATTGATGAAAGGTGGTTAAAGTGGCTAAATCGACAGAAAGATGAATGATTTATTAAATGGACAGATAGACGGCGGTATGGACGGACTGATAGATGGATGAAAACATAAATGGATAGATGAATGGATGGGTGAACAGACGGATCAATGGGAAGTTGGTTCCAAAAACAAACTGATGAATGGATAGTAAATGGAAAGATGACTGGGTAGATCGATGTGCAGTCTGGGTGGAGCAAGGTATTTCTCAAGACTTAGATATGCATCCTCAGCTACAGGGAGCAAGGTCTAGAAAATATAGCTGTTCTCTTAAACTTTTTTTATACTGTTACAGAACTGTAAAACACCTAAATTAAATTCTAGATTTTCTCAGATTTTCTGAAGATGCAAAATGCTGAAGATTCAAACTGTATCAGGCTTTCCTTCTAGTCTTCACTGTCACTAGTTTAAGTTTGATGTTGCTTTGATTCTTTCATGCATGTTTGAGAAATATTTTAATTTCCTGCTTGCCTCAAGTGTGTCAAAACTCTTGATCCCACAAAGGGCTGCCTATTTCCAGAAAGCTACTCTTTGGAGTGACAGTCCCCAAACTTCTGCCTCACAAAGCATTCTTACACAGCACTTTCCCCACTCAGCTCCTCCAGACTAGTGGCAGCACCTGACTGACCTGATTGCTCATTTGAGGAGCAAGTTTACAACGTCAGAACAGTTGTAAACGACATAATGAGAAGCATTTTTGTGATAAAATTGGACTGTCAGAAAAAGCAGGAGTTTCTTAAAGAGACAGAGGCCCAATTTCAAAGTGTCAAACTATGAAGTCATGTTTGATATGTACAGCATTTATACAACAACTGAAGATAACATAATTAACTGATTGGGCTGTAAAGTGGCACCACATTCCTGGAAAATACATCATACCAGCCTTTTAACGTCCATTTACTTTTCTCCCATGGTCAGAAAATGGTAAACATGTGAATGAAAATGTGTGCTTTTGTCCTGCTGTAATTGAATCTATTGGCCAGCCTTTTGAATGTGAGTATACTCACATCAACACTTTGGTCTCCATAGGCGGCAGGTTGATATTGATGTTGTTGTCTAGGTCCATAGTCAGATGATTACTGGCCCGGAGAGGAGAGAGGACAGTCAAAGGACACAGGAATACAGGTTCAATCTGGGTTACAGGTAATTAAACAGCGATGACTGGGTCCCAGGAGCAGAAAAACTGTCTGTGTGTTTGTGTCTGTTTTCTCCACAGAAGCAAAGAGCCCAGTCAGTGTATTACATTATGAATGTGTGTGCAGGAGCCAACTCACCTCTGCAGCTGGAGAGCTTCATCGTTAACATGCTTGTAGCCTCTCTGGAGGTTCTTCAGTTGATCCTGGATTAATGAGACGAAAAGGAAAGCACAATGAGTCGAGGAGACAGGAATCAGGCGGCAGCTGACGTCTCGGACATCAGAACTTCTCCCTTGAATGGGGTGAGGGCGTCAAAACGCGCTGCTGATGAATAAACATTTTTGGCTCCTCAAAGTAGCACGTCAGCTAGCGGAGATCAGCGTCGCGTTTTCATGCGAAGCCGCTGAAAAACAGAGAGAACTTCTGTCGAAACTGCTGTCTGAACATTTTCCGAGCGATCAGCCGTGAGGTAAAGTACAGAAGAGGCATGGGGACATCCTTCATGTACGGCACCGTCGCGCAGATGTGGCAGACAGTTTGAAGACAAAGCCATAAAATTTTATGCTTTACTAAAATAACTTTTAGCTCTTCACTCCTTTCCCCAGCAACTGCTCCCCCTCCCCTCCCCTTTGGCTTGGTTCTTGTGTTTTAATAGCGCCGTATAATGAGGACAGGCCTGCCTCTACATAATTGAGCAGACTAATTCAATTACAAAGGACCAGCGAAGTTTAAGTGGAGCGCTTCTTTCAGACAAGCCAAGAAGGTCACATCAGGGCACCGATCATCCACTGGCTTCACCACAGGGCGCTGATGTGTGTCTACAGTCAAATCCTTTATTACTGTTTGGCTTTCTGAAAAATGGCCGTGTAACAACCTAATCATTAAGAAATATAAGACATCAATCAGATGACCGATTAAGTAATAAGAGAAGCCCAGCTGGAGAAACATGTCACATCTTTTAGACGAAGTGCTGCACTAAAATTAATGTTTACTCTTATGTTTACTTTATGACTTGGACTCTGAAGTTATTTGTTGTATAATGACGCCTTGCCAGACTGCAGACTATTACATAGGGGTAAATAACAGACCAACATCAAGTGGTGCGCACTTGCCAAGTGGAAAGCAAATGAAACATGGTTTCCAACATTTTGTAGAGATAAAACCCTTGAGATTGTTGTTTGGTCTGTTTTGCCCCATTTACTGTGATACCCTTAATAAACTCCACCGCTTCTAACTGCCTTGACAAGTCACCCATTAGGTAAATAGGGGCCCAACTGTGTATAATTTAATCCCAGTGTACAGTGATGTTGTGGAAAGGCTTTAGGGGCTTGGTGGAGAGAGTTAGTGAACAAACAGCATCATAAAAACCAACAAAGACACAGGGCTGATCAGAGACAGTTTTGCAGGGACGTTTAGAGCAGAGTGAGGCTATGAATCAATTTCCCAAGTTCTGAGCAAAACATCTCAACTGTGGCAGCATGTTGTGGGACTGCCTTTCTTCAGCACTGATAGTAGATGTTGGTCAGAGCTGAGAAGAAAAAGCATCGGTATAAATAATTTTTCCTACAATGTGCTGGTCTATGGTAATTGGTTAAAAAATTACAAAATGTGAAGGTTTTAAAAGGTATGCTTCTGGAAAGCCCAGTATGTCAGTGTTGTGTCTTTGGAACAAACATCTGAAAGTACACAGAGGACAGTGACGCAATCATTTCTCCCACAATTATTTTACATGTTCCTACAAACAGGAACGGTTAGTTTGGTCATTGCTCTGCTCATCAAACTCATCAAACAAAATCAAGCACAACATACTTCAAGGGGATGTTTTCAATTTCATCTTTAGCGTCTTGATCGAGTGGAAGCATAAGCGCGGCTCTGGATAACTAAAACTTCCCCCGACCCTTCCCTTCTCTTTTGAGTCACTGTAACTCCTGCTTGACAGACAGCGTCTCTCGTGTCTCTCGTTCTTGTACAATGTCCATTACCCATACACTTTCAGGGAAAGGCTTCTTGAATGTGGCTGACTGGGAATATTGAGACAGGCTAACAGAAAATTCATTCAGAAGAAAATGTTGGTTAGAGAATAAGACAGCTGTCAGGAAACAAGCGATAAAGCAGTGGTAAAAGATGAGGGGGTGCGTCTGTGTCTGTGTTTTAGGTATTTGAGCTCCAGGGAGACATCAGCAAGCGGATAATTTCAATTTCTTTCCCTTTGTCCTTTGAATTGATGTCAAATGTTTCTGGAAGACTGCAGGATTTGATTGGTTAGTTTGATTTTTTTTAGTTAGCAAAGGGATAAGCAGGTGAAGCTAAAATCTTGAAGCTAGATTACACAACACATTGGAAGCAGTTCATGCTGTTTAGGAGTCTGTGTTAACATTTGAGAATAAAAATGTTAGAATCCCTTTGAAGTTTCTTGATCATTTCAAAGAGAGGAACAGCAGGTATACATGCTATCTGCTTCCAGCTTCCATTTTTGTGTAGTGTTTAGCTACGATCAGGTATTGAATTCTGTAAAAGGAACCATGGGAAAAAAAACCTGACATAAAACCAAGGTTATGTAGGTTTTCTGCACCATACTTCCATAGAGGTAACATCAAAGGAAACTTTTCTTTGCTGTGAAGTTTTTGCTGTACTACTCCGGACATTCACAAAGCTATAAAGTGAAGAAAAAGCAAAAAGGAGGCAGAGAGTCAAAGCATACATACACAAAAGCACAATTTCATTCTGTTGTTTGGGATGATTTGGATGTTGGAAAATAATTGGTGTAAATGATGTATTTAATGTCACATAAAATCTCCAGTAATTCTTGAAAGTGCCTGTTGACAAATCTAACAGCTTGTAAAAAGTTGCATATTGTCTGCAGAATGTAGCTGTAGCTAAAAGTTAGCACAAATGTCCATGTTTATATGCTGGTATAATCAATGTAGCAGGAAGCTTATGCTACTGGAAATGCATTTGATATATATGCAGAAGCCAGGGATAAGGGACTGGTGTCGCTGAGAGAACTACGTAGTAAAGAACATCTTCTGCTGAAAAGACCTAATAGGTTAAAAGCCATTGGGAGGCTTTACATTTCCCCCCTTTGACATGGTGAAGGATGTTAGATTTCAGCATAATGAAATTACTGCAGCAATTTGAAAGAACATGTATTTTATCCCTATGACGCATAAGCAACATATATGCTAGACTTTACAAAGACACTGAGAAATTCTCAAAGATTTGGCCTGTAGCCCCGTTGGCTGACAAAAAAAAAAGTATTTTGAAGTCATCATTGTGTCAAAAGTCAATGTTTAAAAATGACTTGCAACTAAAAACAAATTTCACGGGCAGTTTCTCTAACATTAAAAGAATCACATGCGCACTGCAGGTTTAGGATAACCGCGTTTGTCTACAGGCTAAAATTTTCAGCCTCCATGTACAAAATATAGACATGCGGCATTTATATTGAATTAGATTCATTTACTCTTTACTTACTCATCACTCTTTGGTATTTAGATATCCATTTGTACCAGTCGAGCAGAACTTCTGATGGTATCAAGCACCTAAGCAAAGTCCTGACCTCAGCAGGACATTTATGATCCTAATACCCGGGACTGATTTCAAAATCTATAGAGTAAACATTTGGCAAGAATCAGGTATCAAATTAAAAAGATTAACACATTTTTTAAAGGCATTTCATTTTCACTTGAACATAACTATCACCTTCCCCATATCTGTACTTGTATTAATCAAACTCTGCCTTATTATAAAATTCTTATCATCTCATTTGTTGGATGAGAATGCCAAAAAAGTACTTGGACATAAACCAGAGGTTTGCATAATTTAGTGGCAGGGTAGACAGGAAATCTATAGTCATTTTGGGCTCTGGTAGTGCCAAGAAGGCTTGTATTGATTTGTGTGTGTACGTATGTGTCTTGTGTGTGCAGATGTGTGTGTTGGTGAATTTATGGTACAGTCAAACAGAGTGGAGAGAGCAGGATGCAGAGAGTAAGGGATGCAGAAGAGAACTTGAACCCAGTGGATGTAACAGATCTACACACAGCAAACCCAGGAGGTCTAACTATTTAATTCGGTAGGTGGGTAAGTTAGGTATGCACTAGCGTGTCTTTAATGGACTTTAAACATTTTAAAACATGCAAATATTTTAATTTATAGTATTTGTGTGCTTTATAGACTTTTATTAAAATGCTGGTTGTAAGGGGAAAACAGTAAAAAGAAACAAATAAAAATAAATAAATAAATAAAAAACCCATCCCAGTGACACTCCAGGTCAGCCTACTAAATAAAGGCTGGGACACTTTTTCTTTTCTTACTTAAACAAAATCACATTTGGTTTACTGAGACTTTTTTCTGCTATGAAAAAGCACAAACTGGTTTGGAAACAGAAGGAGCCCAAAGTGCCACTCAGGTAACTGTTTTAATACAACTGGTGGAACAACCCCCCAAAAATAATCAACTAATTTACAAATTTCACAATGACACCAAAGTATATATTACATGCAATGAGCAGGCACACAGTTCTACTGCCTATATATGATGCTTTTTCTAGATTTTTTTGGAATGCCTCTGTCTGTTCTGGGTTTGGGTTTTACTTTCATCTACAAAAACATGACACTTGATCTTTATAATGGTTCTAAGAAATAAGGATTTTTGGAAATCTTTGGCCAGTTCTGTATAATTTTGATGTCAGAATAATATTCTATGTTTTAAAAGAATCTTTAAGGAATCTGCAGCTCACATCTTGTTACCAGATTCCACAGAACTCCATCGGAGGCCGAGCGGAGTCTGTGCATCGATGAGTTAAAGTCTGAATGAGCTGCAAAACGGGAGTAACACACTCTTTGAGCGGTTTTCATAATTCAAACTGGGATTTCCATTATGTTTAGTGAAACTGGACCTTTTACCTTAAAGAGGTAATAGAAGTGGTCAAAGGACATTATTTTTTTTTTGTCTAAACTGAACACTGATCTTCTTGTTGGTTCTTATAAAAATCTTCAAAACAAGGTTTGCATTGCAAATGTGCAGCAATTTCTGTGTGGACTTCTTTTTTCCTCAGACAATTAAAAAAAAACATGTTAGGTTAATCGGCAAATAAAAAAGGAAACCCCTCAAATGTTGTCGTTTTTCTGCCCTCTCTGCTTCCTCCCCTTGTCACTCGCCAGGGCAAAACACGAAAGAAGAAAAACTGGATTGACAGGTAATT